CTGGAAGATTTTAGTAGTTTGAAATTTCAGCAATTTCCATTCACTGAGAATCTAATGGAAGCCTACTCCTGGAATCCACCAATCAAATGAAGCTCAGACTAACCATAGAAACAGTTCAACCAATTACACTTCAGTAGAGAATCCACCTATCAAATCTCCCTCACATATAAAGCAAAGGCTGGGCTGGACAACAGCAGCCTGGAAAATCCCCCCATGGAGTATATGCAGATGGTGGACGCTCCCCACCAGAGACTGTGATCCAGGTCGGTGGTGCCTAGCAATTTGCATTTTGAATCACTCCCAACCGCACGCTCTGACAGAGGTGGTAGTTTTAACCACGTTTTGAGATTCACTCATCTAAAGAATGCCAAACACTATAAAATAGGTTACACTTTCCTGATTTAATTATACCCTTACACCTAATGAAGTATCTTCTTTGTGGGCATTTCAAGTTTTAATCTTGGCGCAAAACACAGTATTTCAGATACACAACCACCTCTAAAACTATTTCTCAGAGTTCTGATGCCCTGGTGCTAAGATTAAACTCAACAGTTTCCCATTTAAGTGGAAATCCATAATCCTCTTTAGCTAACTACAAGTCCTGAAATCCCCGTCCCTTAACACGTACAGTATACTCCTTAAGCACCCCTTGTCTTCCTCTCGCCCATCCAATCCTAACCACCCTGTGCTTCTTTTACTGCAATTTACAGTTCTTCAGTACAGCCTATTCCCAACCCAGACATTATGCGCTCTCTGCTTGCACCTGCCTCTTCAGAGTGAGTAAGACATTCATTCCACACCCTTTTAAAGCGGCCAGTCACTGCTTAAAGCTGATCACCAACACAGACCTTTAGTCCCATGTCTCTGTAATGTCACATTAGGGGCATTACACGTCTCTGCACCCAGAGACGAACAAGAGGGTTCTTTTCCCTCTTGAGCATTGTTCTCAAAGCAACGTTTAAAATTTAAAAATGGTATACAGAAATGCGCACTAGGTTTTGGCATCAAATGGGTTCAAATTAGGACTCCGCGACCCAAGTGGGTTCAAATGACATTTCTGTGTCTATGACCTTGAGCAACTTAACCTTTCTGCCATCTCAACGGTGATGCAAAGGTACCATCCACCTTACAGGCTTCAGACAATTAAATTATGTAAGCACAAGTAAAGATTTAGAATTGTTCTCGGTAGTAGCAGGGTGGCCACCTCTTACAGAGCCTTTCCCACCCGCCATTTTACCTGCAAAGCACCAATAGCCGCGCTCTGGAAGCGCAGATCTGTTTTGAAGTCCTGAGCAATTTCTCGCACCAGACGCTGGAAAGGAAGTTTGCGGATCAGAAGTTCGGTGGACTTCTGATAACGTCTAATTTCACGGAGTGCCACAGTACCAGGCCTTAAAAAAAAACAAAACAATAAAAAACCCACGTTAAGGAAAGGGTCACCATATAAAAGACATAAAAGGACAAGCAATTAGCTTTAAAGAAATGCAGTCATTTTCCAAAAAATAAACCGCTCATCTATTCTTTAGCATCTGTATAAAATTTCACTTATCAATTTATGATGTGAATATTCAAGTCTATCAAGAGTAACGACAATACCTTTAAAGCAAAAGGTATGGTATTAAAGTAGAATCTTGGCAGGGAGTTTATTCAAGTCCCGTTCATCTCCTTCATCTATAACACAGATGTGGCAGTAACTTCTGTTATCATTACTTGGGAGGGTGTTAGGCTACTAATAAAAGTCCCCATTCAGACTTCTCCACTTGGCACCATACTCCTTCCCACCCGCACCCTCAATTCTTCTAAAAGCCCTACCAACACCACCCAATGAGCCGCATTTAAACTACTCTTGTGGTCTATTTAAGTTTGATTCCCCAGAGTACATTTGCTCCTCCCTCAGGGATGACATTTTGAACACTTACGACTGTGCAGTGCATCTTCCACTTTTTTGTTTTTTACTAAGTAACTGTGGGAAAAAATGTACCTCAAGTCTGACTTATCTTCTTCCATCGAATGAGCTTTTATTTTAGAGTAACTATAAAATCATTTGCAGAGGCTAAGTATGGACAACTTCTGCCCTCTAATGGCAGATGCCCTTAACAACACTGCTCAGGGTAGTTCAAAACCCACTGTGCTAAGAGGCGGAAATAAACCAATTCAAATAAATGAGGGACGAGAACTTTACTCAAACAAGACATCCCCCATTTTGGTTACTGGTAAAATAAAATTAGTATTAAAATTTGTCATTTTACCAAAAGTGACAGTGTCCTCAGAAATGTATTTTAAAAACACTTTACTATTTAAAAAACACATATCACTAACCTAACAAACTGAATAAAACGCCACTCTATCCCATGAACGTTATTAGTGATTCAATTTGTCTCCTCTGGGCTCTGGGCAGTTTCAAAATAAAATATTCCAATAAAAGCCAACACTAAATTTTATATATATATTTTTTCAAGGATTAGTAAATAGAAGACACCAGCTTCCCTAAAGGAAAAAGTGTGCTTATCATACATCTTAGCGTTATATTACATAAATACTGCTTCCTTGGACAGACTTTGTCCCACTATTTCCTCTTTTTTTTTTTTTT